GTTTCCGTCAACCTTACGGTCTACTTGAACCCTCCAAATTGGACTGTTTTCGAGAAATACACTCATTTGCAAATCAACTTGGTTTTCACGAGACTCAACTGAATCTCTTGTTTATGATGTTCTACAACTTAGTGTGCTGCACACAGGCCGCCTACCCGATGATCCCCAAGAAGGGCGAAACCGGTCGTGGGCTGTTGAAAAGTTTTCAGCAACCTTGAGAGTAGTTTCCTTTATGAAAACCATTCCAATTGTTTACGTACGGCATGGTATTTTTGGAAAAAAAGTAGTAACCCTGCAACTTTAAAAACCGAATTTTTTGGGACAAACCCCATAAAACCAATCCAGTTTCCAGTAGCTTGCTCACCTAATTTCCCCCACTGAGAAGAACATCAATGACGCAAGGAGCTACGGAGCGCAAGCTGCATGTCACATATCTCTCATTCAATCAAACTGTTGAACTGTGTAGACGCCGAACGAGTTGTCTTGATCGATTCCAACCAAGATTGCTGGTTACTTTTCGGTTAGTCAACAATGGATAGGCAATATTACGGGGTACTTTGAATTTTGTGTCCAAAAACACACGAGGTTGTAACAGTTCATAAGATACTTTCACGTGGGGTGCTCTAATACAGCCAATCGGACTAACCCCACTTTTTTTGCAATACATAGGTGTAACGGCGGATAGGAAAGAAACTTGTACACGTCGCAAACAATTTAGTGCGGAAAATCACAGGTTTTTTCTTATTCACCAAATTGTTGTGTGGGTTGTCGTTGTGCGCGGTGAGAATGACCGCACCTTCGTTATTGCTGTGGTACCCTAATCAGTTGTAGTCGATTTTGTTATAACAAGTCCCGACGATTAAGACAATTCTGGACGACGGCAGCGAAGCGTCGGTGTTGAACATTGATGTCGCGCTGTCGACGAGGATGACGATGGACGACTGAGTCTGAATTTATTCTCCATCAAGAAGAACAGAATATGCGGTGACCTTGATGGATCAGCTGTTTTGGAAGCCCTTGGTACCGGACTCCAATGTAAGGAAACCCTCTAAAAACAGAACGATGTAGAGTAATTGGTGGTAGCGTGGTCCTTGATTGTGCACCGACTCATCGCCACACTATCTAACAAAGTACTGATAATGCCACCTCGACTGTTGATGACACGTTTGAAGTCAAATTGCCCAGGTCAGTGAACAAACCAGCGACCATCTACGCTAACTGGGATACCAACATTCTCCTCTATGGCAAATTGCAAATGTGTCAGAACGTTGGTAGCTCAGGTGAGTTTATAGGTTGTTGATCAGGTGGCTGTTGACTTGCTCGCCCCCGTTGGCAATCGACTTGCAAACATCCCGTCACAATACGAAGAGACATCACCAGTGCACAGATGAGTGAGGGTAATAAGACAATGATACTCCCTCGACTTTTTGGTTCACCAACCGATGATCATCTCTTATCGAGGGATCTGCTTTCCTCAATCCGCCAAGGCTGTTATTGGACTGGGACTTCCTAAGTCCGCAGTCAGTGACTTGTGTTTGCTTGCCATGGTGGGCTCTCTGCGTACCTATGACACTTTTATGCGTTGCACATGGCGTTGAATGTACATTTTTGCCATTTACTCTCACACCAGACCCAGTATGACGGACACTTTGTGCCTGATGTGCGAGTCTTGACTGTGCTAGCGCTTACCGGGCCTTGAAGAGCATTCACCATTGTTTGTCCTTTCTTCGACTGTTGGTCTTTACATACTTTGGGATTCATCCCATCAGACTGGAACTGTTCTTGGCATGTTTTCGAATGAGACGTTTCTCTCTTCTCTCCCATATTCTCCTGTTACCCTTTCGCATTCATCGCTTGCATGTTTGTGACCATGCTCTTCAAAAACAAATGATAATGAAGTAGTATACTATCGAAATAATCCGAGCAGGTTGCTTTCACGAAGCAGCTCCAGAAGCGAGGCCTACTGCTAGAGTAAAAGACAGGCAACTCGATACAGGAACGATAAGGCAACGAACGAAATGGGTCACACACGGGACGGGGAATATAACTACCTCAGACAATAGCATATGCCGCCTGAACCAGCGTCACTCAGTTTTTGAACGTTTAGCGTGAATAAGGTGGCAAAATAAACGATCATTTTACCACAACGCAGTGGAATGACACCAAAAGAGTCCTAGAAACTTCCGGGCTAAGATAGTGGAAAGAGATTCTTGCAAATTCCAAAAGATCGTTTAGCTGTAGCACCCCTCCCCTCAGGGCCTAGCTGCCATGCCACCCGAAGGAAGCACGAGGGCGGAGATACTGCCAGGTTGCCCAAGCCTAGACGGGGGAAGTTGAGTGGCAGAGGTCGAGTTCGAGCCACGGACCTTCCGGTTGGTGAATCCGCGCTCTAACCACTTTGACAATCTCTCTCCCGGATTAAAAAAAACCGTACTACGTTTTTGAAGAATCAATGGCTAACACTGTTCAAGGAAAGATCTCACAACTGGGTGAACATATGAAAGTCAGCGGTTGCCCACAGACAACTGAATCCTTCGAAGAACCAGCATTACGGATATCACCCGGGAAAGTGGCGGCAAAACGTCGATGCATAATGATGCAATCAAGCCGGTTGAGGGAGTTCATTTCAGCGCTACCCTCGAAACGCCCCTGAAACACCTGCCACCCATGTAGCCTCAGCTGAGCAAATCTTCTCGTGTTGTTGCCTGTTCTCACTAAGCACGAAAATGAGTGTCCAACGATTTAACCCGGTTGACATGGTGACAAAAAGATTCGATTTGGTCACACTCACGTTGCGCAGACTGGCGCAACCGAACTGGACGTGTGCCGTATAGAACAAGCGATCGATAAAGCACACATTGCTCACAGCAAAAATGTTCGACAGTGTATCGTGTCTTTTCAGGTCAACTGTTGGCCAGTCATCATTTATGCCTTATCGGAAAGCCGATGATATCGGCGGGTGGAGAGAACAGTTGATGTACAGTATGGTTCGTGAGAAAAGAACAGGACAAACTACTGTGTGTGAATTTAAAGCTATGTACTTGTGTATTCGTTCGTAAGAAACAAGGGAAGTGCACCAACAACAAGGCGAAAAATGACACCGAGATGGCGTGGCAGGGTGTGCAAGTCTGAGGATTGGCATGCAAAGGGACATATAGACTATCGTTCAGCTGTAGCACCCTTTGGTGCCTAACTTCCATGCCACTCGAAGGAAGCACGAGGGCTGGGATACTGCCAGGTTGTCCAAGCCTAGACAGGGGAACTCGAGGCAGAGGTCGGGTTCGAACCACGGACCTTCCAGTCAGTAAGTTCGCGCTCTAACACTACAGTGTTTGATTGATAAAGAAAACCATGGATCTGATGGGAACGTCAGACCGACTATACTGAAGCACATCAAACAGTTTTCGAAAGTGACTCGTTCAAGACAGATGGGCTACGTCATCTGTTTCGCAGGGAATTGTCGTCCAGCTACATACAAGGTGCTCAGTCAATGAAGCTGACCAGTGAACTCGGTGTACGGAGGCCAGCCGTACCAAACACCAGGTCATTTGGACGGATGTGTCACGAGCAGGACACGGGCCAAACGAAGGGATACCCTGATTGGTCAGAATGCCAGCCAATCCGAGTCAAGCACCTCGGTCCATTTGGGTACCGCTGATGAGCCCGGACTGGTTAGTGGTAGTGACATGCACGGTCATGCAAGCGACCAATGGTGCTCCTATCCACACCTCTTCAACGAAAAAGCTTCAAAGGGCGACACAAACCATTACATCTAATCAAAGGCCGTCCCATTCTCATTCCATCGCATTGTCGGTTAACGGCTCCGTGATAGTCCGGCAATCCGTCGAGGAGAGTGCCATCGCTCAAGTCTATAGGGGTCAGAGGTGGTTCACCAGGGAGAGCTGCTGGTTCGGACTACCAGGTTACCCGTCTGTAGTCCCTGCTATCTTATGCGTATAATGCATTGCTTTTTGTACTCCATTATGTTGTATTTTATTTCGCTACGCTGCGCTTCACTATACTGTATTGTTTGTCCAGACTAAGACACCCAAAGTATTAATCCTACAACCTAGGGTGGGGGTTGAGATAGCTCGGTGATTAGAGCGCGAATTTACTGACCGGAATGTCCGCGGTTCGAAATCGACGTCTGCCTCTCGACTTCCTCTGTCTAGACTTGGGCAACCTGGCAGTATCCCAGCCCCCGTGCTTCCTTCTAGGGTCCGGACAGTTAGGTACCGAAAGAGTGCTACAGTTGAACGACTCTATGGCCAATGTCGGCTGACTAGCTAGCCACGTGTGCCCAGGACGCGTCTCAAGAGTGCTGTGGGCCACCAGATGTCCCTTTGCATGATCTATGCAGATGACCCGTTCAGTTGCCCCAACTGGACAAGTACGGATCACCAGTTAGACATGGTGATGGCTTTATAATCGATCCCTTCCGTTCACCCTCCGTCTCACTCTCTCAGGTTTCCATACAGTGTTCACGTAGATGCACGTAAGTCTCAGCACTGCCCGCTGTGCGCGGAGATCTACAAGCTTCGGATAGGAGATACAAGGTGTGTGATGGAGCCACCCGCTCCAAATTTCCCGGTTGGTCGGAGACTTTTGAGGAGATGGCCCAAGTGGTTGGGGCGCGAATTCACTGACCGGAAGGTCCGTGGTTCGAATCCGACCTCCGCCTCTCGACTTCCCCTGTCAGGACTTGGGCAACATGGCAGTAGCCCAGCCCTCGTGCTTCCTTCGGGTGGCATGGCAGCTAGGCACCGGAAGGGTGCTACAGCTGAACGCTTTTCTGTAAGAACCGCGTACTTGTCGTTCAGTGGTTGCAACTGTCAGTTTTGTTCACCAATGATTTAGGGAGGTGGTGTGGATAGCTGCGCATTGAAGGCGGTAGCTGATATAATTGATGTGTACGTACATCAAAGCGATCCGAATCAAATTTGAAATAATATACTTCGAACACTGACGAAACGGGAGGGATAGCCCCGCACCCAGAACATACGAGTGCCACACAGGTCTTGTAATAGTCGATCGCGTGATCACTCACTTTGAAATTTACTTGTAAGTGTCAAACAGAAAGGAGTGATCAGTTTTCTGCTCAGCACACACACGACCAGCCCAGACAACAAGAACGCCACTGACATCGGTTGGCAGCCATATCTTGTAGTGTCTCCAACCAGGCACAGTGAGGATCACGCGGTCCCCATCCTGGAAGGCGAGTAGCACCGACAGCACCCAAGAGTTTCGTGATCTCCTCTGCCAGGTCAAGGGTTGGCCACCTCTCTGTCTACGCCACTCTGAGTTGGGCATGGAAAACAGCACTTTCTTCGGCAAACGATGGTTCGGCATACGCAGCACATGTCCCAACCAACGCAGCCTCTGATGTTGGACACATACTTCAATGGAAGTACCCGTTACACAACCGAAAACGCGCTTTCTAATTGCCTCATTACGGATTCGCCGACACCAACCCACACGAGCTATGGTTCTGAGACAAGGATTGTCGAACACCTGAAGACGTCTCAGGTCAGCTGCTCGATTAGGCCAAGTCTCACAGCCATACAACAAAACAGCCCGTACTGTAGCTTGCTACACACGTCCCTTCAGATTCAGGGATAAACCATTCTGACGCCATAGGTGTCTCAAGTTAGCAAACGCGGCCCGAGCCTTGCAGATTCGTGCATTCACCTCATCTGACACACTGCAATCAGAACTAGTACAGCTTCCAAGATACGTAAAACGCTCCACAACTTCCAGTACCTCTCCCTGGATTGTAAGGGGCGTGTTCAGTGACTGCACGTCCACAAGCATGACCTTACACTTTGTAGGTGCAAAGTGCATACAAAAGGACGGAATGACTTTGGTCAGTTCATCCAAGAATACCTGCGCCTTCTCCTCCTCTTCGAACATGAGAACGATGTCGTCTGCATATTCCAGATCGACAAGGTTTTTTTCACTGGCTATTTGAACACCAGGGTTTTGGAGACCCTCCAGCGTTCGTCTCATTAGTTCGAAGGTCATAAAGTTAAAAAGGAATGGAGACAGTGGGCATCCCTGACGGACTGTTGCAATAAACGAGTACAGGCAGCTTGGTTATCATGGTTTCCAACAGAGAATACGCAAAAAAAAACCTGGTGGACTAGGGAAAAACGTCAATTACCATGCAAATGGGATGCGTTGTTCAATGTGACCTGCATAAACTGCGTCGGAGAAGCTTAGGTCTGTCTGATGCACAGAGCTGGCGACGGAAGTGGTAACTGTCCGGACGAGTCCGAAATCTCCGATTTTGATCTGAGGATATTCACCTGCGCGCACAGCTGCCAAGAGGATATTGCGTGCGGCCAAGTCACGGTGCACCAGACCTCGGGAGCACAAGTAAGACATTCCTTGGGCTATCTGGACTCCCATATCCCAAAGCGCATCGACCTGAAGGGCTGGATGAACTTGTGGGAAGTGGGAGAGTTCGGAAGAACTGCTGGAATATGTTTTTGAACTGGCGCACACAGACTGAGCGCGTAGGTGGAGTAGCAAACTGCCTAACGGTGCAAGCTCCGTGACCTGAAGAAATAGCAACAAAGATGCAATCATGGAATCTTGATATATGCTTTTGAAAATCTTACGCTAGGGTATTGGGGAAGCAAATCATGTGATCAACCTGGACAGAGAGTGCACACGTTATATATTGAAACTGGGCCAGTAGATTTCAGGACGTGCCACCACCAACCACGCGTGATCACATGTGAAGCAGATGAACAAAACCTCAACAACAAGGTCATGTGACTGTCTAACGCAGGAAAGACTGATCGGTATTCAGTACAAACGGTGAGTGAGGAATGATGATCGCCGGTTGGTGAAGAACAACTTGGGTGGTGAAACTAACTCCGTACAAGGTGTATCCATGAGCTCGGGAGAGTCCAGCGATTATGGCGCGAAATAACTGAATGCAGCCCAACCCAAACTTTTCGGTTGCTCCTGTTTAGGCTTGGGCAACCCGCGGCTCTCCTGCTTTCTTCGAGTTACCAGGCGACTACGCAACGAAGAGGTGTCACAGCTGAGCACTTTGTCCTCATTTTTTACTCTCAATAACAGACGCATTGTGACCACCGAATTATCGACCACAGTGACTCCTCCTAGATTCGCCATCGAAAGGGCACCAGATGTGCCAAAAAAGCGAACCAAGATATCAACTATAGTTATAAAATTGCTGAAAATTGGTTGACAGTCCACGATCGGTTACATCCATCTTCAGGCTCACCAGGTGGACGCAGACCTCGAGTTTCTTTCAACCAAGTGAAACCCGAGACAGTCTTTGTGAAGCACATTCAGTTGAAGAATATCATAAACGAGAGTTTTAGCTGAGTCTCCCGTGAAAACCAAATTTATTTGCAAATGAGTGTCTTTGTAGAAATCGGTCCAATACAGATTCAAGTAGAACGTAAGGTTGATGGAAATTCGGCAACTGCGCTTCCTGATGAGCCCCAAGAAGGGCGAAACCGGTCGTTGGCTGTCGAAGAGTTTTCAGCAACCTAGGAAGTAGCGTCATTTATGACCTTTAAAATTTTGATACGTTTCAGGGTGATTGTAAGCCAGAAAATAAAGAAGTATCTGTTAACTGGAGATTTTGAATTTGCAATCACAACACAATGGTTCGCTGGTCACCTGCCAGCTACACAGACGGAAAGGAACAGAACATCACAGATCGGAGACACTGGAGTTACGGTAAAATCCGTCATAACAAGGGTTTCGCAGATCCGGCGTGCAAATTATGACAGAGCTTCAACTGTATGGCGTTGCCAGCTAACCACCGAGTGATATTACAAACCTAGGCAGTGGTGGTCAATTCAAGACTGTTTAGCGATGGCAGGATAAACTAGATGTGGAAAATTGTTCAGAGTGTAAAGATGATCCCGGTGACTCCATATCGTTCAGCTGTAACACACTTTCGGTGTCTTACTGCCATGCCATGTGAAGGAAGCACGAGGGCTGGGATACCGCCACGTTACTCAAGCCTAGACAGGGGAAGTTGAGAGGCAGAGGTCGGGTTCGGACCACGGACCTTCCGGTTAGTAAATTCGCGCTCTAACCACTTGGTTCATCTCACCACCCTCTATATAGAAAGATTACTGGCCTAAAATAATCACGAAGGCGTTTCCTAACAGTTAAGAACTGGTCCTTAACTCCTTCAAGGAAGCCCACTCCCCAGTGGAGGCCAAATGTCCCCTTTGTTCTGTAGCGGTCTCGCGTTGAGAGAACTCCTGTGTTCTACTGCCATCCACATGCAACAACCAATGAAGTGATGTAATGGTGATGGGTCACAGAATCGTTCAGCTATGGCATTCTTTCGGTGACTAACTGCTATGCCACCCAAAGGTTGCACGAGGGCTGGGATACTGCCAGGTTACCCAAGCCTAGACAGGGGAAGTTGAGAGGCAGAGGTCGGGTTCGAACCACGGACCTTCCGGTCAGTAAATTCGCGCTTTAACCACTGAGCCAACTCGCCAGAACAGGAGGACGACCGTTCAAAACGAGAATTGGTGTGACTTGAACAAAATACCGATCCCGCAAAATCCCAAAACTGCAACTTCAAGATATCCCCAGTGCCTGAGAAATACACTCAATTGCACACCAAGAACATTAGGGTTGTCGGAATTTACGATCGGGGACTGCGCCTACCTGCTGAGCTGTACGAAGGTCAAAACCGAACGTGGGTCGCCGAAAAAGAGCAGTCTTCTTCCGGAAAATACTAGTAGTTGCTTTGGAAGGAGAAATATCTCGGGCGCACGAGCCCGCCGTCTGGAAAATCGTAATTCGGAAGAGCGGTCAACGGCACATCAAGTAAACCATGACTGATGAATGCTGCTGTCACAAGTAAATAACGCCGTTCATCAACCGCTCGTGTCCCAATAATGGTAGTGTTTTCATAGTGCTTCTCTGCTTTTGGACAAGTACCACTGTCACTTGCCCGACGAAAAGTTGGGCTCTTTTCTTATGCAAAACTCAAGTTTAAAGCTACAAAAAAAGATCCGCGCGACAGACAAGCCGTCATACAACGCCTCATCTGCGTCGCCTCTAATTTCGCACGCGTTATTATGCATGGTAATAATCGTTCTTCAATATACTTTTGCGGTTTCCTCTTTCTCAGTAAAAACTGGGTCGTGGGTCAGTGATCAAAAAGCACGTGAGCGCAATAGACAACTGAGAGGAACCTATGAGGAAAGGTGGAAACGAACCCTTTACTTTTTGTCTGGAGAAGATGGGCTTATCGATGAAGTTGATTTCCTAGCGACGGGCTATACGAATCACGCTATTGTTTCGCTCAGCGTTGGGTAAAAACGGGGGGATACCTAACTTATGCGACTCACCATCATGATGGGATTGGACAAAACGACACCGTGAAGCCGGATCAAATTGGGATGGGAAAGTGATTGCATTGCACGGAGTTCATCAAGAAATGCTTTGAAATGGTCCCCGATGATGGCTTCAGGTCGTAGAAGTTTGACGGCCACAGGAATCTGTGAACAGAAGCGAAAGAGCGTCAGTATAAGAAACCCGGAGGTATAAGCAGTATAAGCAGACAATCTACGGGAACCGTGAAAAGTTCTTGCGACAGAGCACGTGCGACTACGTGGAACCGCCATACTCGGAAGTTCAAACTGGCACTCGAATTAAACAAGTATGCAACAAGAAACCACTACTAACATGAAAAACAAAAACGCCACGCAATAAAAGTTCGTTAGAATCTCGAGAGAGAGAGGGGTATTACCATAGGATGTTTGTTGCACACGATGGAATGAAGGTCTCCTAAACACCGAAACAACAAAGACAGTACACAAAAAGAACAAAACGCTCAACGGTCACAGTCACAACTTACTACTTCTCCAGAAGGTGTGGTCCAATCGGCACGGCGAACAATTCCGAATGAACCAACTCCAAGACGTGAATGAAGTTGTATATCTTGCTCGGGGATCAGACAAGTCAGCGGAGGGGGCGAAGTGGATGTAGCAGTCACTTTTGTCGCCGTGGTTGCACTAGCTCTTCGTGGTGTTGGAGTGGGGGAAGGTGTGGGAGTGGTCCGCAAACCGAATGGCGGTGAGGAACGGCGACTAGAGGGGGTACCGTGTGCCCACCTACGATGATGGCCATGTGTGGGTGGTGATGGAGTTCTGAGTGGTTCATAATGATGATGCGATGGTGACACGGGAGCACTGGATGGAGGGATGGGTTTCTTGCCAAAAAGCTAGGACAGAAACAGAATCATGGAACACTATACGTGCGTCGCGGAAATTCCATCAGCTCTGACAGTAGTGTGACAGACAAAATCAACGCACAAACATCAGAGACCGGAATTATGTTTGTCAATTTGCACTGCTTGTAGCTTTGGAAGGTATCTCACTGGGTCTCAATGGACGCGTAGACCAGAATGCACTGCAAGCTGTATTGTTCTACGGCTGTGAGACTTGTCTACTTCGGGCGGAGGATCTGGGACATTTTCAGGTCTTCCATCATCGTTAGCCGGGATCGACTGGCAGCGCTGGAAGTGATACGGTACTCCCAGGTTCTCTCCGATGCAACCAATTTCGTTCCCGAAACTACTATCGAGCTGTGACATCTCTCTACTTCGACAGTCAACCAATGTATACGGTATGCGACCCTTGGGGAGAGATAGTCCAAGTGCTTAGAGCGCGAATTTGCTGACCGGAAGGTCCGTATGATGCCAGATAGTATCTTGGCTGTTAGGAATGGATGGCTGAGTGGTTAGAGCGCAGATTTACTGACAAGAAAATCCTTGGTTCGAACCCGGCTTGTCTCTCGACTTCCCCTGTCTAGGCTTGGGCAACCTGGCAGTATCCCAGCCCTCGTGCAACCTTCGGGTGGCATGGCAGTTAGGCACGGAAAGGGTGCTACAGGCTGAACGATTTTTTTATGCGACCCTCATCGTCCTACTGATAAGGGTAGGCCAACGTTCAGAGCATACTGTCGATCGACGAACTGATAAACAATAGAACATTCAAATGTCAAGTAAGACAGCTGTTCACTCGATTTATGACCAATTTTTATCTTGTACGCCATCTGGTTGTTTGTTGAGAGTGAGGACTACTATTTTGGACAGTTCAGGCTAAATGCGAAAATCGAGAAGGTTCTGAAGATGCGAGTATCACTAAAGTGTCCTTTCTCATCATCGCATTGAATTATGCACAATCGTTCAGTTGTAGCACCTTTTCGGTGCTTAACTGCCAAGACACCAAAAGAAAGTACGAGGACTGGGATACCGTCACGTTTCCCAAGCTTAGACAAGGGAAGTCGAGAGACAAGAGGTCGGGTTCGAACCACGGACCTTCCGGTGAGTAAATTTGCACTTTAACCACTGAGCCATCTCACCCCCGACATTATATGTATGTATATAGTGTGGGTAGAGTTTTCCAAATGGTAGCTGGGCAGCTGAGTTCCCCTTCAGCTGCAACACCTTCTATAGATAAAAGGTTCGTGATCGAAGAACCGACTACTTACCTTGCGCAGTAATTTCGGTCCATTAGATAGATGAGAAGAAACACTATAGGGATTCTCGACTGGTCGCCGAAGGTCCCAATTCGAGTGCCACAGCGCGCCTGAACTGAATGTCTTTCCTGCGTTGGTAGTTGAATCCGTCAAGAGATTTCCAATCGGCATATCAAGGTCAAGCAGGTGGCTGACCAAACGGTTGACTTCCAGTTCAGTCATGCCAACTTGCAGCAGATCACGAGCGCGATATCGACTGAATTGAGTAGGACTGGTACGGATCGCAGGTGGGACAGGACATAAAGGAATCATGTGTAACAGTAACAAAACACGGAGTAAGATATAAAACAGATTGTTGACCAGAATGGTGACTTATCGCGTTTCGACGCAACCGGTAATTGACTGTTTCGATATGCGCATGAGACAAAGTGACTTTTGTAAAACTATGCAGTTGCGTCGTATACACCGCAGAAAGAGGTCTTATGAGAAAGGAACTCCAAGAAAACTCATTATACCAGCTCAACCTCCTTCAAAAAACACACCCCGCAAAAATTTTCGCATTCTTTTAGAGCTTAACAACGCATGACTTGAGTGATAGATCAGCGCTTTTCTGAGTCGTGATCGTAAAAAAACGGGATATTACTGTCAAGAACGGGTAGGGGCTTCGCGTCTGAATGACAGCGACCAGACCAGACCAGATCAACTGTACAACTGAACAAGTGGACAGACAAATATCTTACAGCGAAAAACATCACAAGAAGACGATCGATCAACTGACAAGGGAGTGAATACCTTGAGCTCTTGGGTGGCAGTTAGTTGAGAATCGCGACTTGTCATTAGCCTCGAATCGTTTCAGTGTGGTCGGGGATACGGCAGTGAAGCATCGGTGTTGGACATTGATGTCATGCTGTCGATGATGGTGATGATGTGGTCGGGGAGACTGAGTTAATCCAACCTGACCAACATCAGGTTCACTCTAAACGTTCTTAAGAAGCCTGAGACTCACGTATTTTCTGCCAAAGAAATCATATTTATTATTGTTTTTCACGAAGGCATTGTCGCTAGGCCGAAAGGTAAAGTGGGTGTCCAACGCCTTGATAAACAGTGAGGTCGTTCAGTTGTAACACCCTTCCGGTGCCTAGCTGCCATGCTACCTGAAGGAAGCACGAGGGCTGGGATACTGCCAGGTTGCCCAAGCCTAACTGGGAGGCGGAGGTCGGGTTCGAACCACGAACCTTCCGGTCAGGAAATTTGCGCTCCAACCATCTGAGCCACCTCGCCTCCGATAAATAGTGATCTCTTTATGGAAGGAGTGGCTAGAGATTTATTTCCGACCACCAGCGAACGTCGTATGCAGTGTCTCTGGCTCGTACATGAGAACGTCCCAGCAGACAAGGGCCGGGTGATTAGTTGAGTAGAAACACAGAATCCCAAGTGCCCGTCCTTCATTCAGATTGCATGAGCTAAATCTAACTGGATCGCGAACTGATTGGTGACTTGCTGTCTTTCGGATAGTGATCGATCAAACTGGCTTTGGAACTCCGAAGGAACTTACACTAACAAAGAAGGTTCTGGAAGTCCTATTTCGGCTAGCTTGTGTGAAAAAATCGTCCGCGAATAACACAACAATGCTATCCGGGTAATCCGAGTCCAGAATAGAGTGCAACATAGAGACATATGGCCTAATAAATTGAATGCTCTGTGAGCACTTCGCATAGTGAAACTCTGGCATCGAGGTCAAGGAGTACTAACATTACGACAGTGCGAATATATACATATATATGTATATATATGGCAAGTATAGGCAACATGCTCCTGATTTTTTGGAAGAGGGAAAAGGCTTGGCTAGTATATTTGTCACCCTGACAGCTAAACCGGTGTTTGGAACCCCAGTTAACAGGAACGTCAAAGCTATGTATTCGGGACATTTTCATGGCATCCCCAGTACCGTTCGAAGGTGCAACTTTGACAATCTGATGCTAGTCGTCTTGCCACGAGGAAAGATAATTCCACTCAGGGATTGCGTTTGAGGCATAGGAACTAAAAATAGGATCCACGCACCCTCGTCTGTATTCTAGGGTCACAAATCCCGGGGTAAACACCTGTGGATGTGGCTGATCGAAAAATGTTTGGAATCGAGGCTTGTTCGACAGCGACTAATATGGTCTGACAACTTGAATACTTGGGACAAATTAACAATTCCACTTATTCAAAAACAATCCTATATCCTACCGTATTCACTACGAACGAAGCCGAAAACATTGTGCGTAACGTTATGTGTGTAACATCTGTTTAAGTTAATTTGTGGACATCAACCAACAGCAACACTAACTAACCACAGTTTCAACCCATTCGTATGTGACTGTTACATCTTGATCGACTAACTGGCCTCTTGAGGGGTGACCATCAACTGGCAGGTACCAGTCGACCTTTGTTTCTTTTGTCTTCTGCGATTTCAACTACTTTGATCCTGACAAAAGTCAGGAGAAAGAATCGTTCTGTTTTTTATCACTAGTCCGATATCTGAAACCTATAAATATCAGGAGAACTTTTGTGGATGGCCATGTTTAAAACGGAGTTCACTCTGGTTGACCTGGACACTACGGGAGGGCTGTAGCCATATATTTCACCGCACAACGGATGAGGCAACAATTAGCACGTAGTCAACAGCGCTATCCAATTCCTTTACAAATTACCCACATCTACTAGGAACCAATCCAGTGCCTTACATGCTTCAAATGAATGTAGCGTACCTGCTTGACAAACTGATACCCAAGTAAAGGGATTAAACGTCAGTAGAAGCGAACCCGACCGAAAAGCATAGTCGTCTCCCTAGGACGGAACAAACCGGACCCTATTCTCATAACCGACCACATCTACCGTAACCTGCTAAAGCGGGCGCACAATAATTAGTTCTCGAGAGGCGATCTGAAGGCTATCTCTGTATCAAGGTATCTGTATAGCCGAGAGAACTTCTTTTTCCCTCGTGTTTGCCATCAGTGGAACTCGCTACCTTCTGAGGTCGTTTCTGCACCAACTAAGATGCTCTTCAAATAGCCAATAGAGGACCATTCACGGATGCCGCTCAAAATCACGTAGTCCCAAAATAGCATCCCAAAACCAAACCTGCAATGTCCTCCGGGATATCTCATGAACCACGAGAAAAACCAGTAGAACCAGTGTTAAGTGTACCGTGCAATTGACGCACTCTCCCGAGGAAGCACCTTGCGACTTGTGATATTTCTTATTGCTGAGCATATCACTGAAAGCTTACAGATGAATTATAGACTGTTTTGAAGGTCTGCTTGAGATCTCAAGCTGATGTAAATTGCGTGGTGTAAAGTTGGGAAGAGCCGCATCCTACCCAAACGCAAGCTCGCTAACAATGCTGACCGGCAGGATGGTGTTGTGCCCAAAGGAATGTTGCGAATTCGAGTCTCTCCAAAGCTTTACTAGAAGCGTATTGATGATTCCAAATATGATAGAAAGCCCAGACAGTGCTTTTTGTTTTTCGGTATAGATTGCCTCCGATATCAGAAATGCAGGAAGGATTCGATCGGGATCCATGAAGGGCATGTGATAAAATGTCACGTGACTCCGAAGTTTACAAAGTAATCGCCATCACAGAGTAGCGTAACAGGGCAGTAGTTTGCCGGTAAGCTCTCCGCCTGGCTTTATAAACAAGGGCTATAATTAGGTCTCCAAGTAGCCGGGATCTCTCCTGCGTCAGCCTCTGAAATTACAACGCAACAGGTCCTGACGAATCATCGGCGAATAGTTAGAACTCGAGTTATTTCAGTGGTTAGGTGCAATCTTACAGACCCGAAGGTCCGTGGTTCCAACCCAAGCTCGGCACCTTGATGGCTCCTGTCTAGGCTTGGGCGATTTGACAGTATGTCAGCCCCCGTGGTGTCTTCGGGTAGCATGGCAGCTAGGTAACGAAAATGTTGCAGAGTAATTATTATAGTAAGAGGATTGCAGAGAGTACTGGGGGCGAGATGGCCGAAGTGGTTAGAGCGCGGATTTACTAACCTGAAGGTCCGCGGTTCGAATCCGACCTCCGCCACTCGACTTCCCCTGTCTAGGCTTGGGCAACCTGGCAGTATCCCAGCCCTCGTGCTCCCTTCGGGTGGCATGGCAGCTAGGCACCGGAAAGGTGCTACAGCTGAACGCTTTATCTTTATAGAGAGTACTATCCTTTTCGGACAAGCTTGGTAACAATCGGTATATTCATTACTTGGCAACGCTTCGCTTTTGACACAAAAGCTTCGTCAGGCCAAGTAACTGGATTACGATGTTAGTCGAGGTTTGAGGCGGAAGGAGAACCAATTAGCTGAGTCAAGCTAAATCTGTGTTAGGTGTCGGCCGAGGGATATTGTGTATTAGGGTGGGGCACCAAGTGTTAAGATGACGGGGACACTTAAATGGATTTGCGTCCACCTTGGGGTATAGTGCTTCTGGGTTACGTGATGATCCCTCTTGAACGTCGTTTATACTCTTCATCCGTCCGTGTGGAGGAGATAGCGCTACGATAGTTGTGCCAGCAAGAGGGATTCTGCGACCTTTAGTTGGACTGGGATTTCCATCCCCTGTTTTTGCTAATGATGCGCATGGACAACCATACAGTCACGTGTCAACTCGATTTATAACGCTTGGTAATTTCCACCGCATCGGTTATCAGCCTTTGTGGCGTGAATCGCAGTCCGTCTTAAAACTTCCACATTCTTCAGATCTATTCTATGTCCTGTGCCTAACACATGTATCGCCATCGCTGAGTCTTTGATCAGCGTTTGGTATTCTTCCGCATTACTTGGTGGTCTGTTTATCCCATTTCAAAGCCAGCAAATTAATCCGAAGCCCGTAACTAGTGAATGATACTTCTTGAATGCACGAAGATATCATGCATGCTATATCGGTTTCTCCGAGTTGATACCAGACCATGAAACCGAATCCTCTTTCGTCCCAAAAGATTCGGAAAGAACAGTTAAGGTAACGTGTTAAGGTGACTGGAATGTAGCACCTGGAGGCGGTTTTCAGTCGCTGTTTCAATAGCAAAAGAGTTGATGAAAATACTTTGTCCGTAGGCAGGTAGCTCCATAGGGCGAACATACGGCATCAGCGGCTACAATAATCGTCTTTGTAAGTGTACTACGCCCTGCGGTTGGTTCGGGCGAGTACCATCAGAAAGGAGAAGTCAGATTTCCATAAGGTTTGGGAAGCCTTGTAGCCATGAAATAAAGTTTGGGCAAACTTAAGACGCCCGGGGTGTCGCGGCACCAGAATACAGATGTCAGTCATTTTTAAGATCAGGATATATAATCGTTCAGCCGTAACACCGTTTCGATGCCTAGCTGTCATGCCATCTGAAGGAAGCACGAGGGTTTGGATACTGCCAAGTTGACGGAGCCTAGACAGGGGAAGTCGGGATGCTGAGGCTGGTTTCGAACCATATCCTCCGGTCAGTAAATTTGCGCTCTAACCACTGAGCCATCTCGTCCCAAGGGACCGGACGGGAATCAAACCCAGAGCTTCTCTGATGGTAGACAAGCCTTTGCATCAACTGGAACTAAGAGCATTAGATGTACATAAAAACTGGTTGTTACGTCTTCGGGCATTTGAAGATTCAGCAAAGGTCAAACTCGGTGCATTAGCACCTTCGGCTGTAAAACACAGCAAAATCGCTTCACATTGGGTAGAGCTGTTGGGGGTTTGGGAAGATACGGGTAGATAGCTAGGCATTGGAGGCGGTAGCTGACAAAACAGGTAAATAAATACAGACGTATCTGCGGACTTTTCACTAGGGAGATCGGGGGGGGGAGAAACTATACATTTAATGTAAGCGCACTATTAACGAGCGACTTGGTCATATATGTTAACGTCTATGACCATTGACTTGTCCCGTCTCGTTTTCTCAACCAGACAGGCGTCAATGACTAGCTAAACTGAGTTTGCTGGTAATGGCATTCAGACTGTTAATAAGTCGGTGCTTGACCTCCCCTGGCTGTTTTTCACTTTTCGCATGTTTGTGCGGAAAGGGATCTTCCGAGAATTCAGTCGACTGGTATACGGTAACACGTGACCAAGCTAGCGCAACCTACGAAGTGCGGTCAGTTCATTTATTGTGGGCCAATTGTTTCTTCTGAAAACCATTCGACGTACTTTAGTATTACTGATTCGGTGTTCCCACGAGAAGCCTAGCTGTCCGGAAATCTGTCAGAGGGTGAAGATGTGATCGATGCATTCACTTGCAGGACGGAATCCAGGTTGGTTTTCACTGATCTGCCTCTTCCTGTGTTCAGTCAACCTTCGAAGGATAGGAGCAGAGAGATCTTCATATGCCAGTCACCAGCCTAATGCCACGACGGTTTTCACACAGTGTTGGCGTACCCTTTTTAAAAACAGGGATGACTGACGATGCGCCCCATTCTTCAAACACTTCCTCTCCACTCCAGGTCACATCAATTTTTTGTCAGATGGATAAACAGGGGTTTTCCGCCATGTTTGAAGAGGGCCGGATACAAACTGTTTGATCCTGGTGCATCCTCATACTTGAGCACAGTTATTTCGTATTTCAGTTCTTCTACTGACAGATGATCAAGGTTTACATTATAATCGCCCGTATTAACAGCCTCCAGATTGTGTTGCAGGTCAGCTAGACAGTACTTCGAAGTATTTGACCCATCTTTCCAGCCGGTATTTTTGCGAGTGACTTGATGAGCCGCCGTTTCGGTTGACCATTATTATAATAATAAGAATAATAACTGCTAATTGTTCACCTTCTGGTAGCTAGCCGCTACACCATCTTAAAGAAATATGACGGCTGAGATACTGTCAAGTTGCCCAAGCCAAAAGAGGAGCAGTCGAGTTGCTTGGGTTGAGTTCGAATCAGGAACCTTCCGGCCGTTAAGTTCGCACTTTAAACACCGAGCTATCTAGAGCTCCCACTAATCGTCGCCTTTCTGTGGCCAGTCAGTCATTAATAAGTAGAAAAGGACTTCCTATATCCTGAGCATTCGGCGTCCACCAAAGCTTTCGGTTTTGGGCTCTTCGCTAGTTGGCGTTTAGAGAAGTTGCATGCGACATCGTCTGAATTCCCTGGCACCAACCAAAACTAATGATCTGGACGATATTCAATGGCCATTTGATCGGTTCGGAGAAATCGGATAGATAGCACTGACTAGCATAGCTTCCTTCACACTTTGTCATACTTCATTGACGTGATCTCTACCAATACATCGTTGGTTTACTGTAAACGGTGACTGAGGTATCTCAGATCAGTACTGCTAAGCTATGGTAGTTATCCGAAAACGATGGGTTCGTGAACTTCTTACTCGCGAAAGCCTGGAGGAAAGCGCAGTCAGGCATGTTTGCACTATGGTGTGATCAGAATCAAGTTGTGTACTCCAGAAGGAAAGGCAGTCGTGAGTGATGGGCCCGACCTAAAGCTCCTATGTTGATCAAGTTGATGTAATGACCCCATAGGTCACACTGGCTGAAACTTCGTTTCACAAGGTGCTACCATGCTAGGAAGGCCAAAGAGGAGCAAGCAGATGAAGAGCGACGGGATTCTGTACTAAGAGCAATCGTACTGGGAAACGGTTTGAGGGTAAAGTCGTACTGTCTCTGCGATAGCAGTGGGAAGGCAGTAAGGTGTTTCCCCCTACAGATGAGCAGGCAAGACTATCGAGTTACTCGCTTCGGACGGCGCTCTCAAGGAAAATCCCGCTGCCTCGCAGGTCACACTCAAGTCAGAAGCTAGGGTATGTCCCTGAACAGAACCCTACAACCCCCATTGCCATGTGGGTTAGGCTTTTACGCAAAAAGCTCGATGTGGGACACAGTCAAATCCCCTTCTTTTGTTCGGGAAACCGGAAAGCACAGTTTGTCCGCAAAGTTCTTCGCCCATGGACTAACTTCTCAAACCCCTTTCCGCTATACACACAAACATTTCCGAGTCATGTGATTGTCAGTTACTTGACTGATATGCCTTACTCTTTTATAGGGTTGTCTTACCCGCCGTACTGTTCAACTGAGTAGCAAGGCGCTTCAGGAGGAACTCCTGGTTCATAATTTTATGCAAGTTGAATCCTGCTGACAAAAGACATGATAGAGGCCTGACCGCTAGTTCACACTCAACTTTTTGTGTGGAGATTCCTTCCTCCATCACCCACTTCACCAGATAGGATAAACATGAAGTGGTCGAAATCAGAATGTCTATCTTCACTGTTTCACTTCAGATAAACAGTAAATACCTCATCATAATCATCGGGAGTATGACATCAGTGTTCAACACCGATGCTTCACTGCCGTACAGTACAGTAAATATCTATTCACCTGGCAGTCGAATGACGTTGGAAAGGGAATGATGAGGGCCGGTAAACACTACCTTTCCGCACCTTGCCGCCTGTTATTTGCTGAGCTAGTGTCGCGAATCAGCGTTTGAACTAGATTTTCATGGGCCCTCTTCGTAATATAAAACACAGCACCCGAGTACCCAAGAAGACCGAACATCAAGAGATTCCTGTTCCGACCCATCGCCGCTTTGTACCTGTCCTTTATTACCCATAATTCCCTACTCACTATGGTCACTTCATACGGTGAGATGGCCCCAACACCGACTTCGTTTCCGAATAATTTAGTTCGTTATAAACCTTACCCTTTTTGCCGCCAGTAGCCTACTTTTTCGCACATTATGAACAGATGTTGTTGGGCCTACTAGGTCTATCTCAGACTCCGGCATTGTCTGAATTCTGAGATGAGAGGTTTTTCGGCGAAAGTGGCCTCAACTAATTCCCTACAACATACAAAGATCAGGACGATTTTACTCTGTCTGTCATGAATGTTGAGGATTGCCTCGTTAGGCCCACCACATGATTGGTAAACTAATTGAGCGCACATATCACACATTCCTACTAAGAGAATGGCTTGTTTGCACTCGATGTAGGCGAATCATTGCTTCGAAGCTTAAATGCTAATACTTCGTTGGAGAAATGAATTCATTTCATCTTAAGATTGGGAGAGTCGGAAGGGTAAGACAATAGGGCTAGCAAAGCTACAAGAAACTTCAGTCAAACGCCAAAACCGCAGTTAAAGCAGAGAACAATCATACTATTGTGTAATGACAGGGCTGGGAAGAAACAGTTAGCGGGCTTACTCGGTGATACGTAGCTTTCTTTGTAAAACACCATAACGATGTTGCAGACAAATCCCTTTGAGAAAGACAACCAGAGGATCCGTTCGGCTATATGGTTCCATAGGATCCGGTGTCGGCAGACTGTACCAGGGGTAATATGTTTTTGGTGGGATCATTCTACGTCTAGGGGACGTAGAAAACCATATCGCCGCAGTCAGCGACCGACCTAACCGCACAGGTCAGCGGGTTGCAAACACCGCACGCCGATTGGTCGAAAGCTGGGGGCGAGGTTTACGGTAGGTTCAAGAGATTAATGGGTGTGTACACAGGCATCCCGAACGCAAGGAACAAACAAAAGATAATCTAATCAGACGGTGACAATTCTCAAATGGGCTCTGTTCTATCGGTTGTCCATAGGTTGCACACTTTCATTAACACCGACAGGATTCACAGAGTCACGGATTGATAATGTGGCAATTTGTACATTTGTTTTACTTCCATTATAACACTACGTATTTCATCAAGTGCATAATCGTTTTTTGTTTGAATACGAAAAACTACAAAAACGCGCACTTGTACAATTTCTCATAATACAAGCGTG